GATGGTCACCCCTATTGATCGTCAGCCTGGCTCCCTTGCATTTGCTGCTCATTGCCTTTCAGTCTTCTACCTCAATAAAGCTTTCCTGCATCACATCTCATGATGAGTCTTTCTTATTTCTGATCCCTGGATTTTTCCAGTCTCACTCAGCACTAAGTCAGGTTTCCAGAGTCCCTTGGGGTGGGTGAAAAAGTGCTCGAGGACATCTTTTAGGATTTACTTCCCCATTTTACTATGAACTGGTACACTTTGCTCTTCTAGTGCATCCCACAATTCCTTCAGCTCCTGAATCACACCTGAATGCAGTAATGCAGCTCTATCCCTGCCTCTGTCTCAAATCTCTCTGAGTGGTGTGTTTGTTTTTGTGGACATCAGTTACTTGTCCCTCACCATCTACAGATCTGATGAAGCAGTTCCATGTCTTCCTTGCCTTTTTGGGCTCAGAGCTCAAGACAGATCTCTGGTCTTATTTCAGGAAAGCAGACACTGAGATTCCTCCAATCTCTTGTGCTGCCCACACTGTGGGGATGAGCCCAGGACACAGGGGCGTTTCTGGTCGGTGAGTGCACATGGCTAGGGCATATCCAATTCTTCATCCGCCAACGCCTCAATTCCTCCTCCTTCTGGCTGCTCTCAATGCCCTCATCACCCAGTCTGTATTCTGCATGTTTGGGATTACTCCAGTCAAGGTGAGGGAGATTCTGCCCCTCTGCTCTTCTCTGCTCATACTAGAGAACTGTATTCATCTCTGGGTTACCAGGAATAAGGAAGACAAGACCCTGATGGATAACATCCAGAGTATGACCTTGAGGATGATCTGGGGATGAGGGTTTAGGACAGCCATTGGGCATGACTTTGGGGCATTTTTTCAGGCAGCATTTCTGGCAAATCATAAGGTGGGGAGTGTTTTGCTTCCCTCAGCTCTCCAGTATCATGTCCAGCTATTGGGACTATGTATGTCTGACCTTGGTGGCATCTTTAAATGACCTGGTATTGGTTCCACTCTTGTTGGATGAGGGAAGAGGGAACAATATCATATATCTGTACTTGTGCATTTGTTTTTGTACCAGAAGGCATCTGCGTATTCAGTCTGGAAAGAGATTTGTGGTGTCATCATGTGGTGGATAAGGAATGGATAGAATGGTCTAACTCAAAGAGGACAGTCTTAGTCAAGCTGTTGTGGTCACTGGATCCATGTGTGTGGAGAAAAGGGTTGACTGGTGACACATAGAAGCTCCTATATTATTTCCCATATTTGTCAGGGACATGGACAGTGGGATTGAGTGGGATGTCCAGCAAAATCAGAGACCAGAACAAGCTGAGTAGTGCAGTTGGTTGTCTGGAGGGAAGGGAAGGCATCCAGAGGGGCTTGAACTGTTTGGGGCAGTGGGATATTTTCAGTTTCATGAAGCTGAATGTGGCCAAATGCAAGGTCCTGCACTTGGTTTGGAGCAATGCCAGACATGACCACAGACTGGGCAATGAAGGGATTGAGAGCAGCCCAGAGGAGAAGGATCTGGGATGTTTGTGGATTAAGAATTGAACATGCCTCAGCCATGAATATTCACAGAGCAGAATGTCCTCGTGTCCTGGGCTTATTCCCCATAGTGTGGGCAGGAGGTGAGAGGTGAATTCTGTCCCTCTGCTCTGCTCTTCTGAGAATGGAGAGATGTATTTGGAAGACAGGGACATGCTCGAGCAGAGCTGTCAAGGAAGATGATGAGGGTTTGGAGGAACTGGTGTGCAGCCAATGCGAACACAGCTCCCATTCATGGCTTGTGTCGGAGGCAGGGACAGACTTGCATTAGTGTATCCAGGCCTGGGATTAAGTAGGTGAAGGGTTTGTGGGATGCAATTGAAGAGCAAAGTGGGCCAGTGTGTGCCTGTGAAGGAAGAGGACACTTCATAATGCAGCAATGCAAGAGAACTTTATTGAGGCATAAAGAAAAGTGAAAACCATGAGCAGCAAGTGGAAGAGGTTAGGCTGAGGTACAAGTAGGGCGACCATCAGCCAAAGTTTCTTTGCCTGCAGGTGGTTTGGCTAGAGCATCAAGGACTTCCTGCCCCACAGCAGGAGCAGCTCGATGGTGGAGATGCCCATTTGTCTCTGGTTTGGGAGAAGGAATTTGCAGCAGAGGGGAATGGACAGAGTCAAAGGGGCGATGCAGAGCATGGAATGGGAGAAGAGGAGGAGGCAGATGGGCCATGTTTGCAGGCAGCCTGGGCTGGCCCCTTGGCTAGTGCATTGCTTGGTGCCCTGGGAGCAGGATCTCTAAGCACTGAGTCCATTTGTGAGCCTCAGGCCCCGAGAGGTGTTCTCAATGCCTGGGGTGTGTTCCAGAAAGTGCGTGGTTGGGGTCAGGAGTGGTGCTGAGGGTCCTTAGCAGATGTAGCCGCCCCTTCTGCCATAGCAGCCCAGGCCTCCCAGCCCATAGCCAAATCCACGGCCATAGCCAAAGCCACCAAAGCCACCAAATCCACCAGAGATGGGCTGTCCCTGGGCACTGAGTTCGCTCCCAACAGCAGCGGAGGAGGTGGATCCGACAACGGTGCTCTGGGGGAAGGAGGTCATGATGGGTCCAGGCAGGGTGACCATCACAGGGGAAGGGTTGATGATGACGCGGGAGTCCTGGCATTGCAGGGCACAGGGCTCGTTGCAGCTGTTGGCCAGCGGGGTGGGTCCGCAGGGTTGGCAGAGGTTGTTGCAGGCCATGGTGTGGAGGGTCCCTGGAAGAGAGGGGGTTGAGGCAGGGCAGGAGTGTGGGGGTATGAGGGGTGGTGATGGAGGAGGATGAGGGAGGGTGGAGGCTGTTGTGGGGTTGTGGGGATGTGTGAGGGCTGCAGAGGCTGGGTCTGAGCGTGCTGGAAGTGAGGGGCCACAGAGGGCAGGAGCAGGAGGTTCAGGGTCTTGAGGCTTACCTTGAGAGCAGGAGAAGGTGGAGGAGGAGAAGGTGTGAGGAGAAATGTGTGAGGGAGAGAGGCTCTGGACTGGCTTTTATGCTGGTCCTGGAGGGGCGGGACAGCCTTGTCCCATGGCCTTGGGGCATTTTGCAGGCAGCAGTCTTGCTGGCCCATCCTGCTGCCTCATGATCTGGGGAGTGTTTTTCTTCTCACAACTCTTCAGTTCCATGTCCAGCTCTTGCGTCCATGTCCATCTGTCCTTGGTGGCAGCTTTCAATTGGCAGTTGGTATTTGGGAGAATTTAATAATTAAATGTGTGTATGGAATGGCTGAATTAGCAATGAGGGATCTGGAGAACTACAGTGTCATCAGTGATGTCATTTTGTGGCACCCATGTGCTGTGGTTTGTGGGCGCTTTGTTAAGAATGGGACTCTGTTTTGTGCCACTGGATGTCCATCAGTCATTGTGTTGCATCCAGGAATGCTGAGGGAGCTGCTGATGTCCTGGGGAGGTCTCTGCAACAACCTTGGAAAGGTTGCAGTGCCTGACAGTCCTTCCTGATAGAGGAAAGAGACCTCTTCCCTTTTGTGTTTTCGATCGTATGAAGAAAGAAGATCTGGAAAACGAGTGGTAATTCAGTACTGAACTTGTTACAGTCTACTTGTATTTGGAAATTTTTATGACAATATACTCTGTTATTAAAAATTTATTCCCTGTCCTCATTGAGAAATCCAATAAACAATAAATGGGACCTTTTTTCCCAGGCTGCTCTGTGACATCAATTCTTTTTTCTGTGTTCAAGCTACAGGTTTTCATAACCTATAATTTGAAAGTCTTAATGTGTTGTTCCTGTGAGCAAAACCCAATAATTACTAACGGACAGCCAGTGAGCTCCTCTTTCCTTCTCTGTCATGGAGCAGTTGTTCCTCTGTGGAATTGTGCAATTTCATGTTCTGCTCCTGAGGCCATCTCCATCTGACCTTGGTTGTAGATTTTAGTTTCTAGAATGAAAGGCCAAGGTGTTGCTGTTGGTGCGTGTCATGACACATAGTAGATTTAACCACAGTTTAAGAGATTTGGGGTGTCATCACTGAGGTCATTCCATGGCACATTGACAACATGTGCTATTTGCATTCTTGCCTCCTGCCTGGAAGAAATTCCAGCTTAAGTCCACTCCTATCAATGTCATGGTCTTCCTGCACTTCACTTGGTCAACCACATCCATGTCCTTGTTCCACTGTGGAGCCCCAACTGTGGTGCAGAACAGGAGGGCCAACTCTCTTAACCTGCTTGGATTTCTTCTAATCCTGTCTGGGTAGCTGCTGGAGTTTTCACAGCCAAGGATACATGGCCACCTCATGATCCATTCATGAAATTTCAGCCCAGAACACCGACCATATCCCAGGCCGCAGAGAACTAGGTTTGTCCAGAAGGAATAGCTGGGGTTTAACTGAAGACATTAGACAACACCCAAGTTCCTGTAGGCTTTGTTTGCATTTTCTACATTCCTGAGACAAAACCAGTACCAATTCATTGGCCTCTATTTCTCCGAATTGAAATATGCAGCCAAGGTCAAATGGACATGGACTCAAGGGAAGGACGCAGAATTAGAGAACACCAGGAAAGAAAACACTCCTCGCCTCATGACTCAGCAGGCCAGGCAAGAGTTGCTGACTAAAAAATGCCCCACGGTCAGGGGTCAAGGCTGCCCCACCCCCCAGGACCAGCATAAAAGCCAGCCCAGTGCCTCTGCCCTCACACGCTTCTTTGGACATCTCCTCTTTCTCCTCCTGCTGACAAGGTGAGCCTCAAAACCCTGACCCTCCTGCCGTTGTCTCCCTGACCCCTCTCTTCCACCACACTCAGACCCAGCCTCTGCAGCCCTCACCCCTCTCCACAGCCCCACAACAGCCTCCACACTCCCTCACCCTCCTCCATCATAATCCCTCACACCCCCACAACCCTGCCCTGCCTTACTCTACTCTCTTCCAGGGACCCTCCACACCACACCCATGGCCTGCAACAACCTCTGCCGACCCTGTGGACCCANACTGAGATTCCTCCAATCTCTTGTGCTGCCCACAGTGTGGGGATGAGCCTGAGATCTGGGGGGTTTCTCGTTGGTGAGTGCACATGGCCAGGACACCTCCAATTCTTCATCCACCAACACCCCAAGTCCTCATCCATGGGGCTGCTCTCAATCCTGTCATCACCCAGCCTGTATCCTGCATGTTTGGAATTGCTTCAATCCAGTTGAGGCAGATTCTGCCCCTCTGGTCTGCTCGAATGACATTGGAGAGCTCTGTTAATCTCTGGGTTACTGGGAGCAAGGAAGACAAGACTCTGCTGGTGAAGATCAAGAGTATGGCCTTGAGGATGATCTGTGGATGAAGGTTTGGGACAGCCTTGGCCCATGACATTGGGACATTTTCCAGGCAGAAGCCGTTGCTTGGCACAGCCTCGTGAGTTGTGAGTTTGGGACTCTTTTGTTTCCCACAGCTCAAAAATTCCATGTTCTGCTCTTGAGGCCATGTCCATCTGATCTTGGTGAGAGATTTACTGGGTAGGTATTGGTTCCAGCATTGGTGGATGATGGAAGGTGGACAAATATTCTGTACCTGGAGTTGTGCAAAGCTTTTGTTCCTGTGCCAGAAAACATCCTTGTCTCTAAGCTGGAGAGATGTGGATAGATGGCTGGATAAGGAATGGGCAGGATGATCTCACTGGGAGAGTTGTGGTCAATGCTCCATGTCCCTGTATGGAGAAGAGGGATGAGTAGTGACCCAAAGAGACTTGTGGTGCAACCATTATCACTTCCCATTTTTGTCAGGCACAGGGACAGTGCAATTGTGTGTCCCCTCAGCAAAAATGTGAACAACAGTAAGGTGAGCGGTGTGGTTGATTGTCTGAAGGGAAGGGATGGCATCCCAAGGGTTCTGGACAAGCTCGGGTCATGGGCTGGTGTGAAGTTTGAGAAGGTGAGCAGGGCCAAGAGGAAGGTCCTGCACCTGGACTAGATCCATCTCAATAATGGATGTTGGATGGGCAATGAGTTAATTAAGAGC